GGGGCCCCAGATTGCCTAAATCTGCCCCTGCTCTGGAGTGTCTCGTCATTTCTCAGCGTTCTGGGTGAGTTTGACTTTTAGTTAGGAGCACCTGACTCTTATAGAGAATCTTTGGAGATAGAAGTCTATTAGTACAGAAGAGAAGTAGGTTTCCGAATAGAGAAGACCAGAGGATGGAGAAAGAAGTTCCCAAAAATCTTAAAATATCATCATGAACTGCAGCAGGACGTCATTCTGCTGAGATGAAAGACGGATTCACCTTTATTGGGAGGAAGCCTGGCTCTGTTTGTCAGAGAGTAGAACAAGTTGGATCTTAATGATATTTAAAACAAAGAGCAGGAGCCGGTAATGGCAGAGAGGGAAGGTCAGACTGGTTAAAATGGGAGTGGAGGAGGCAGGATAGTCAAAAACCCAAAAACATGCTGCTTCTGGGAATTTATTATTATTTATTTTTTCATTATTTATTATTATTATTATTATTATTATTATTATTTATTATTAACTCCTCAGACAGTCAAGGCGCATGCATGTGACATCACTGACTGATAAAGTTTTCTAAAGAGAAACCCCTTCACTGTTACTCTGGTTGGAGATAATAAAAAGAAGATAATAAGAACTACTGTACATTTATTTCTAGAGCACGGTGCCTTAAATTTCATTATAAGATAAAAAAAACTTTAAAATGAAAAAAACAAATAGAATAAAGAATTAATAATCAACCTATAAAAAAGACTTATCTAAACAAAGAGATTCAAGAGACCTGTCTGATATTAGGCTGCAGAGACTTTCCACACAAGATGATTTTTTATTCTAAATAAATGGACCGACATGAGAAGCTGTAGTTTTGATGCATTTCAATGTGGTTGACAGGATTTTCATTATGAAAAAACAAACAAAAGACAAAAAAAAAGACTGTCCCCATATCCAAATATCATTTCTACTGACAATAGATAAGAGGTTTACAGCTTTTCTTTTCCTGTTGTGTTGAAATTGTTACATAAGTTTATCTCAGCCCTTGGAATGATATCAAAACCAGTCTTTTTCCAGTCTCAGGTTTAAATACTTGCAAAAGCTATTATTGTGCTGAACACTGTGTGCGTTAGACCTAAATATAACACTCATACTATCTCAGCCAAGATGTCTGTTTAGTTACAGATATTAGACTATTTTATCTAAAGTGAAA